CCTATAAATTGTAAAACCATTTGTATAATGTTTCTTATATTATTAACTAGTCATTAATTAGTTTTTGCATTGTATTTATGATTTATCTATCTTACTATCTATAATAAAATTATTTATCTATCTGTTTTGTTAATGTATCACAGTACAAATTAAAAAAAAAGCGTACACACATTTTTGAGGCTTTAAATTCTGTTTGCATCAAATTGCATGATGCATCACCTATTAGGCTATTAAATTTGAGTTAACCAGTGATAACCACATAATGCATGCCTAAGCACAGTCCAGGGCGCAAAGCATAGTGGCAAAGCAGAGAGTTTTTTAGACTCTCCCTCAAGTTCATTTTTGAGTCCTATAAGTAGACCAGTAAAGTATCATGGATACCAGCATTACCTTACATAAGAAATTGGTTTAAGTCTTGAGTAAATGAGGAAATTAAAAATGAATTGATTCTAGAAAATCTCTGGTTTGTCACTATGGCGCAGAGGGTGGATGCAGCGTTGCCAATATATGGGTTTTTAAGCCCTAAGCGTCGCCGCTCACTCGCCGGGTAATTTTAAGATTCGTTGCCAGGTAATTTTTAATGAAAAGCCATTTACGCTTAGTAATGAAAAACTATTTACAAGCCACGAACTTATTTACAAGGTTGCATGCACGTGTTACCCCAAATAACTAATTTTACCCTAAAAACAGTCCGATTGTACAAGTTTCAACTGAACATGTGATTAATGCAGTCTGACCGCAACTACATAATCGTAAGCTTGATGTTTACATTTTTTGGCGGGAAGCCGGGAAGTTGGGAACTCATCGTAACTGATTTCCGGGCAAGCTTCACTGCATCCTGATCCATCCAATATATCGGAAACCTTACTTTTTTTAAATAGTTGGCCGAAGACTAACAAATATATTAAATGCAAGAATTTAAATCTAAATGTGTCGGCAAAATCTTCTGAAGGCATAAATTTTGCTACTAAAGCGTCGCCAAAGATCTTGCAATATTCATCCACTCTCTGCACAGTGGAGCGCAGTAAGCAACTAAGCGTTAAGCATAGTGAAGACTAGAACTTTTTCAGAATCAGTTCATTTTTAATTTCCTCATTTACTCAAGATTTAAAGCAATTTCTTGAGTATGATAATGCTGGTACTATCCAGGATATACTTTACTGGTCTACTTATAGAACTCAAAAGTTATAGAATTCAAAACATATAGAACTCAAAAACATATAGAACTCAAAAGTGAACAAAACAAAAGTTTACTGGTCTACTTATAGAACTCAAAAGTGAACAAAAGTGAATAAAGAAAGAGTCTAAAAACTCTCTGCTTTGCCACTATGGGCTGGTAAGCACTCGGGCCTCTATTATTTAGGGTAAACACACCATATTCCAACACTTTGGGGATATTGCAAGAAGTGAATGGCTATACTAAAAAGATCACCGTATGCGCAACTTGAGTTCTAATTGCTTAAGTAACTCTCGAATCACCGCACTACGCACGAGCAATGATGAAACATCACAAACTGTTGCCATATTTATTTAAAAGCCTTTAGAATTCAAATCTACAAAATCGCTGAATTCTGACGCTGTGTGTGACTAAATTAGGCATATTGTGAGACTAATTCCAACAATGCTTCAAATTTTCAAAACGGTAATTCGTAATTCCGACGCCCTGTGTTGAAATTCCAATGCCCTGTGTGAGCTGTATTGGAATACAACACAGCTCGGAACGATCTGTGTGCATCTAATTCCGAGCTGTATCGGAATTAGTTTTTATGTGTCTAAAACCATCTCTCAACTTAATCATCTATTAATTAATTTATTACTTAAAATCAGCAAATACAAGTATACTTAAAGGATTACTAATATATTCACAGACTTATTTAAAAGTCTCAAACCATAATATTCTTTCTACACAAACAGTTTATCACTATTTGGTAGAGCAAGGTCAACTATCAACTTTGACACGTTTTTCAATGTTCTCACTGGGTGATGTGGACTTTCGCTCTGAGGATCCTAACATTTTCCCACCAGACCTAGTTTTTTTGCAGAAATCTGGCACGCAATAGTATGATGTCACTATTTCAACCATCTACGCATGTGTGGAACTAAGACAAAGCCTAATATAAAGGAAAAAGTTGAAAAGTATCAGAATTGCCCACAATGTCGGAATATGGTACATTTAACCTATATAATAAAATAATTGTTGCTTCAAAACAACAAACGTTTTCTCAAAGACACGAGACATTTGAAAAGTTGTGAGGGGAAAAAATCATTCAGAATCTTAAGTGAAGTAATTAGCCTAAAAAATATCAACAAAATAAAGCAATACCGTAAACTGGGGTAACTTAGACCACTTTTTTTTTTTAAATGATGCCATTTTTTTACTAGATAAGTTAAACTTAAATTGAAACATGCAAAATACAGATCTATACTCTAGCTTCACTCACCATAAATTGCTGTCTCTTATACACATCTGTAAAACATAATATTTAAAAATCAGATATAACGTGAACAAAGAAAGTTGTTCATTAGGGCACAAATAATTATTCATTGGGGCACATTTGACCTTTTCGAAATCAATTACNATGAAACAACATGTTTGCGGAGTGCAAACTGTGATTTTTTCAATCAAACAAAAATATGTACATGACATTAGAGGCTTAGAGCCACGAGATTTCATACCTACTGAAATTATATGATATTAGAGCCATGATATTTCAGAAATAAAGACTTTTCCAGCCCTGCATTCCTCAAACTTACATACCGGTATATAACTGACTCATTTAACAAGTGTTCTATTTCCAGACCAGCAATATTATTTACAAAAGTAAAATATAAATATATATGTTAAGACTTGGAAACTAGGATGGCTGAAGAATCTCTGATTGCTTCACCACTAGCTTGTGCCCAGCAGTCATTCCACACATTCAATTCTGGGCCTTCTTCCTCTGGCAAGCAATCAGGAAGACAGGTAAATTGAATACAAATTTCATCATCATAAGTTCATTAAAAACTTCATAATAATGCCATAGCTCATTAATACCAAACTTAGTTTATGAAATTTTGAAAATACTAAATTTGAATCATTTAATGTTTGATGTATTTATTTCTTCTTAATTTTAGCTGGAGTGTCGAGTGTGTGAAGAGAGCTTCAGTCTTGGTGGAGATAAAGTGCCACGTCTGCTGTTCTGTGGCCATACATTATGTCACTCTTGCTTGCTGAGACTTCCTATGACTTCTGCTGCTGATGAGGCATCCAGCAGCTCCAGCACCACATCTGCTGCTGTAGTTAATAGTGTTATATGCTGTCCTTTCGATAGGCAGCCTACTCCTATAGGTATAAAAACCTCAGCTACACGTTTTGCAATTTCTACATTAAAATTTCAATTAAATTAGTTTGATGTAGTTATGTAGAATGTTAAAAACATGTGCAAAGATTTTATCATTGGCCAAATTTGTATAAAAGTATTCATAATTACAATTAGAATTTCCTCAATTTTGGCTAAATATTTCAAACATATGTTATCAATTGCATGATTGATTATAATGAAATATTTTATAGAAATAGAGGGTTGATTATCTATTCATGTAACCTTTATTCAAAGCTAGGAAAGCTTCAATGTACATCATTTCATGTGCAGACAACAATGGAGTATGGGGCTTGAAGAAGAACTTTGCACTGTTGGAGGTTCTGGAGCGCAGCAATGGAGCCAGTGAACAGCAAGCAGGAGGTCAACAGCCTCTCCTTTCTCCTGACCTGTTGCGTCGCCAGGTCGGTGTTATTTAGTCTATTTGCATTAAACATTATTAGAAAAATAACGCTTTCACTAATGAAGTTGACTTGGTTAGCTGAAAATTTATAAATCTGAAGTATATTACCTATGCAAAGTATTTGTAATTAGTTGCAGTTTAAAATAGATGTGAATCATTAATGAAAGTATAATTTAAATATATTTTTATTCAATAATTCATGTATATTTTTGCTTACTAACTTATTGGTAGTCATTTAACATATTGTCACCCCCTCAGCCAGTGGCTTGCAGCGTGGGACTGGGTGCCTTGATTCATGTTTATTTACACTTACTACCTTATTGTTTGTAGTCATTTAATGTATTGTCACCCCCTCAGCCAGTGGCTTGC